CTCTCCCTCTCTGGACTCTCTCTCCCTCTCTGACTCTCTGTCTCTCACTTCTCTCTTTCTCTCTCTATCTATCTCTCTCCCTCCCTCTATCCCTCTCCCTCCCCCTATCTCTCTCCCTCCCTCTCTCTCTCTCTTTCTCCTTATTTCTCTCTTTCTCCCCCTCTCTCTCTCTTTCTCCCTATCTCTCTCTCTCTCTCTCTCTCTCTATATCCCTCCATCTCTCCTTCCCCTCTTCCACCCCTTTCTTTCCTATCCTCCTCCCATCTTCCACTCACTCCTTTTCCTCCTCTCCCTCCCCCCCCCCCCTTCCCTCTCCCTCCCCTCCCCTCCCTCTCCTCCCCTCCTCCCTTCCCTTCCTCCCCCTTCCCCCTCCCTCCCCTCCTCCCCTTCCCCTCTCCCTCCCCTCCTACCCTTCCCCTCTCCCTCCCCTACTCCCCCACTCCCCCTCCCTTCCCTTCCCTCCCCTCCCATGTTCCTTCCACTACAGCCAGTGTCATTCCGTCCCCAATGTTAGGGCCTCTTGCGTTCCATCACAATCCACTCCAAGAATTTCTTTTGGCGCAAACCTTTTCCTCCACTCTCACATTCCACCGTGCACTCCGTTTTCTGCCCCACACATCACTCTCTCTAAACAAGGGCCGGTCTTGCTCCTATGTCCACCTGTCCTATCACCTAGTGTGGCCAATCCTTCGTCATCAATTTGCTGTTATTGTTAAAGATTTCGTCTTCCGATTTCTTCGTGTTGTGTATCTCTCTCTCTCTCTCTCTCTCTCTCTCTCTCTCTCTCTCTCTCTCTCTCTCTTCTCTCTCTCTCTCTCTCTCTCTCTCTCTCTCTCTCTCTCTCTCTCTCTCTACAAGCCATCACCTTCAATAGCAAACGTGTTGCCGTTACGCGGAAATAACTATTGAAAAATGTAGCTCCTTTTGTGATTCACATTTAAAAAATACAGTTATCCCTGTAAGCGTGGTTAAAAGCATAATCTTGAGAAAGGAAAAAATACTCGGACATGTAGCAATACGATCCACCGCAAGGATAATCCGATACCTCGCCAGGAGAATGCAAACACGTATCCGAGATCCGGCAGCGTTTTCATTCTCCTTGGATCCTTTTCACTTGACAAGGATCCAAGAAGGGACTAGATATTCTTTCTTTTTTCTTGCCTGCTTTGCTAGAGTGTATAAGAGTTATAATTCCTCAAAAGCTATTTTTAATGTCATCGGCACCAAAGCCATTACGAATTTTTGTCATCAAAATTTTACTGACAAAGCTTATATATCACATCCCTTCTTAACACCATCACCTCATTCCCTCAAAATCGTCCCTTTCTGCTTATTGCCTTCCTTATCAGAGCTAAAGCTTTCCTGACCGCACCATCATCGTTCCCTTTGGCCGCCGCCACAAGCGTTACTACGCACGCACTAGCCCTCGCCGCCCCGCGCCACACCTCCGTCCCTTGTAAGTTCACGCGTTTCACAGTCTGTGTGATTGTTGAATCCAAAGCCCCGGTATCTCCACTCCGATGAGCATACTCGCTCGTAGCTGAATGCCATATTCAATTATCACTTGAATCTGCATCAGCGCCAGTACCTTTCCCCTCCCATCAAGTGTTAAAAGTACCCCTACGTACCGCAGCATTTTTACCCCTGTCCCTTTCCTCCCGCTCGTACCCTCTGCCCCCCTCCCGGCCCTCCCCCTCCCCTCCTCCAGAGAAGGAAGAGCGCCGAGCACGGTTGGAGGTGGCTGGTCAGCGGGACAGAGCAGCTGGCACGGCGGGCGCCTCAGCCAGCACCTCCCCCCAAGAATGCCTGGCTCGCACGGCCCGTATCTTACCCCGCTACACAAGGGCTCGCTGCAATTCAGTGTCCCGTCAGGTGTTCTGTTCGTTTGTTTTGTGTCCCTTGTAAATTGCACCTGAGACCTGCGTGATGGCTCACTCGCCTGGCGTCGTAGCACGAACGGCACGCAAGGCAAAGAAAAGACAAGGCAATACATGGAGAAAGTAGTGGGCACGTCCACCCACGCTACCACATCCTGCGGTCGGGACGAGAACGCCAGATTCTCGCTTTTAAACCCCCCATAGAGATAAACCACGAGCTGGCCTCTCCCTCAGCAAAGCAGACGGTCATCTCCTCCGCCTGGAAGGCTCTGGCGCAGGAATGCCTTTGGAAGACGCCAACGAAGCGCAGGTGCAACCTCCGTCGCAGCACAACCGCAACTGTCCCTTCTGAAACCCGAACCCGAGACGAGTTTCGTGGGTGTTAGGAGAATATCCTCTCCGAATTTGTGGCGATTTCTCTTCTGGACATTTTATAGCTTATCTAACACGTAAACAAAAATCTGAGATGAAAGTATTATCGAATTTCTATAAATACTCAACAAAATATTCCACTACAACAAATTTGTACCATTCTTTTACAGAATACTACTCATTCTCCATTCGCATTCCTATGCCCTAGTAAATTATGGTTTATCCTCACATTTTTTTTTTTTTTAGACTGACAGTCGCACCTGAATAAACTCAAGCAATGCTTTTTTCATACTGGCAGTTTCACCTAAATAAACTCACACAATGACTTTCTTACCAATCACTCCATTATCCTACAGACAGGACAAAATAAAACGTCCTCAAGCATGTTCTTCCAAACCCATAAGAGTGAAAGTCGAGGGAATAAGCCTAAAGGCCAAGATGGGATTCTAGTACATTCTTCCTTCGCATTTACATCCCGAGATGAAAGTCACAAGTGCTAAAAGAACTTGACCCCCATGGCCATTCCTCCTGGGTGGTCGGTGGGCGGCGCTGCCTTCGAAGATGTGTTTGACCTGTGTGTCACTTGGACTTCTGGGAGCCGGTATATTGCCGTGCATGGAAGCTACGCAACGGCCGTGGCTCTTGTGGACATAACTTGCCTGGACATACACACTCACTGACAAAGGGAAGAGCATTTCCCAAATTACCTAACGATGATATATCCGCATGCCTTTAGATTGGAACTACGGCACGAATTAAACAAAAATAATGAGTAAAACTATTGCTAATTGAAATTGATAGCAATAACCATATTGCTGTTATCATTTAAATACGTAAAGTGCTAGAGACTAGAGAAATTCATGACGCTTGGAGAAAAAAATAAGTAACAAAGATACGATAAAGAAAATAAAGTGTCATAAATATAGGGCATTGACATCCCGAGACATCTCGCTCATTGAGAACTTGTGACGTCACGAGTGTAAACACCGCTCCACTCTCGCGCATCAACACAGGCCCAACAGAATGAAACTCAAGTATTAACAGCCAAAAGGAGATAGGCCTATCCTGCAGGCCTCTCCTGCATACCACGAGACTATTTACAGATTTTGTCACTGATAATAAAATACTCGTTTACAAAACTGGACACAAGAATAAATCTAAACTTCTTAACTACCCCAGACTACAGAAAGAAAATGTCTAACAGGTTTTCGGATTGAGGACAAAATGAAATTCTACTTACTGTGTTCATTGTGTCATTGGCATGAACAGAGGCCCTGGAGAAGAAGGGATTGGAGGAGCCGTTAACAGAGGTCCTGTTGATGAACGGGGACGGCGACCCTCCGCCTCCTACAAGCTGAGATTCTGCCGTGGTAGCTGTTTTCGTAAAGTTGCTAGATGAGTCGGTGTGCTTCGAGCCTTATATTTGCTTCGATTCAGTCTCTCGCTTTTATACTAGGATAGTCTCAGGAGATTTATTTTGGCATTTTTCCCGCTCATGATTATAGTAGATTAGAGATTTATCAAAAAAATAGAAACTCGTGTGCGGATGGTCAAGGTTAGTCACTTTCCTCCACCGGATTACACAACATCCAACGGTTTTACACGAAAGGAACTCACCGCAGCACCGGATGCCGGCGGATTGTCGTTCTTGTTCAAAATAAAAAACACTGAATCTTAAGAGGTTCTTCAAGTCACTTGGCTTAAACGCGAGTTCGCCGAGGGAGAGAAAATGGACTATCCACAAATCTCCTTCCACCCGAACGCGTCGCAGTGGATCGGGTTCCTCCCTCTCGACTCCACTTCCTGTTGCGAGGGTGCTCGACTGACTATACGCGGGCGAACCGGTATGGCAAGTCAGGTCAGCGAGGCGGTTTTCCCGAGTTCAGTTCAGGTCACAAAATTTTCTCCGTTGTTTTCTAGAATGGATAGATATAAATGATGTCAGCTGTGTTAATACTACTTCTAAAGGTCCTACTGCTAGACTTGTCACTTCAAGATATGTTATGGTTTACAGTCTTCCCCAGATGTGTTGGGGCGCGAGTGTTAAATCGTTATGTACTGTACTCCCTCTTCTTAAATGCTAAGCAATTCTGAAATTATAAATGGTTAAACCATTTGCAAATAATGATAATATATCTGTGATATCTTTCGTTTACACATCCGTTATATACTGAACAAACATGAAAGTGGTGACCCGTGACTTTACTCTGTCTGAAGGACAATGAGAATGACCATTATTGCAACTGCTTCAGAAACGAACATTTATGAATAAGTTAGCCCAGAATTGTCACCAAGATATCCTCACAGAGAACATCGGAGTCTCGGGAAAACGAGGTATTTATTTACCTTTACATCTCAAAGGAAATGTCCTACTATTGCATAATTCGAACTTGGCTTACCTCGATTCCTCCTTCGTTTGGCGAAGCTATTAAAGGATATTTTTTATTTTAATATCTAGCACAAAAGAACTATTCCTGTTCCCACGCTTCCTTTTCTCCGCCGTTTTATTCGAGTCACCGTGGCTTCCCTCCGATCACTCCCACTCTCACTTTTATTCGTCCAACTGAGTCAGCGTTTTTTCTGAGCAGTCCACCTCCTCCCACGGGAAGATGGGTAGCCCTTGGGTGCCAGACAGGAGTGGGAGGGGATCTGAGGGGATGGGAGGGCTAATGATGGCGGCCAGTGGAGAGGAAGGATGATGTAAAGTTAGTAATGGGAAGGAGTGGCAGTCAAGTGGTCTAGCGGCGTGTC